TTTTTTTTATATTTAAGTCTGGTTTAATCATCTATTTCCCCATTGTTGACATCTTCTGTAAATCAGTTGAGAATTTTGAGCTTATTAGAACAACCAGTACTGAAAGGGTAGGTACCTTGAAGTACAAGCTTTTGTAAACAGAGCTAAAATAACAGTGCTGCATGCACTGAGCCATGCATTGGAGGGCAAACAAATCCTGACTGCAGACAGGTGCATCATTTGGTTATGCAGCCTATTGTTAAGCTTTCTGATTTTGAAGAGGCTTTAGAAATATGGAGACACTTCTATTCATGGCATTCTTTCAAACGTCCACATTTTCTTCTTTTACGTAAAATAATTGGTACAAATCCTTCAGTAATACATGGTAAATAATTACCGTCTTGTTCTGACATTGTATTGGCTGTAGTTTTTATACAATCACATTATGTTTGTTGTTTTGTTTTATTCAAGGGCTTTGTATTGTGAATTGCCATCTTATGAAATGATGTGAACTATGTTAGAAGCCATGATCCTTGTATTACATATTTTTTTTTCTCACATGAATAATTCTATTGCCTTAAAGCAAATCAACTTTGACTTTTAGTCAGGTAGTTCAGAAACAAACTCTACATATTTACAGCACCCTAATTTCTGATTACATTGAGTTCTTTGTTTTGTCTCACTGCATGGCTTCATATTTTTACTTTTTCTTAATGTATTACAGTTCCCTAATTAATTTCCTTATTCAATTTAAAATAAAGATTTTATAAATATTTACGCTTCTGATTTCTTAACAGTTTTTCAACGATGCACATAATTTCATGGTAACAGTCTTACTTTTCATTCAAATTGTGGATGTTTTTCATCATTAGGCTGTTCTAATACCCAGAGGCAGCTGTGATTCCAGCCCAGTTCTGGAATTCACTAAATTAACACAAATGAAGATTCCTCTGTGAGTCTCAGCAGTACTTTCAGTACTCTTCCTCACAGGCAACCGTATGACAGAAAAATAAACTGATATAAAACCAGTTTTATTTAGTCTGTAAATGGCTTTCGCTTCATTTAAAAATATCATCCCAGATTTTATCTAAAATCAGCCTTGCATTGTTATCTACATGAAACATTAAGTCTCTTTACTGGTTTCTGTACATCCTTTGCATCAAATTTTGACTCCTTGTCAGAGACTGAGCTGTAAAGATTAGTTCCGATCTCCCTTTCTGTTCATTATTTGAAGTTAACCTTTATTCTACTTCAGGAAAATCTTTCTTTCTTCCCTAAAATGGTATCTCTGGGTTCAAAGATTTATATAAACAAATGGGTTTGGATGGAATTAATGATAAGCAGGTTAAGCTACCTGATTTCCTTGTGTAACCAGATAATTAGACATCTCATATCTGCACTTTATATCACCAACTTATTTTTTTCATCTGACCTCGAATCAAAAAATGTTGGATGGAAAAAAATAGAACTCATATAAAACCAAAAAACAAGTCCCAGAGAGTTTTCTGGTAATCATTTAACTCCTTTACTCCTAAATGTCTAATAATTGACTCAGTTTTCCATGTATTCCTATTGGGATCAGATGAACAATATTGAGGCTAGTCCCTGCTCTTCTTCAGAGTGTTGTTTTAGAGGACTGAATATGGCATAATTTTCAAACAGTTGACTCTGTTTCCTTAAGTGTCTAAGGAGCTTTTCTACTTTTGCATCAAGCTTAATATTTTTCATGATACAAAAATACATACTAGGAAGGATTTAATTAGCACCTTTTCGAGCAGCATCAGGAAAGAGGTCAAGAGGTGTGTTTTCAATGCCCAGCTGTTCCTCTGGAGATGGGCACTCTGAGCAAGTGGACAAGGAAATACACAAAGGAAGTTCTGCACAAGGTTATTGCCTTGCTTTTTTTCAAATTAAAAATGGGCTCTGGTGTCACAGTTATTGAAGTAGAGACAACAACTGGAGTTTGATTTTCAGAGGCTCAAGGCTTTCCCAAAAGCTAAGTCTTGTTTGAAATGGAATAGAATAGGAAATCAAATATGGAGGGAGGTAGAGCCACCAATCATTTAAAAAAAACAGAAGTACGGCAATCCTTTTGTCTTTAATACATAGGGTCTAGAAGTAAATAACTTTACAGATTTCATTTCAATCTGAATTCAATATTTTCCTTTTGCTTTAGGCTCCCAGTTGTATTATTTCTACTCATTCCAATGGTCTATTGGTACAATGAGTCACTCTGAACTACGACACATGCTTTAGTGCTACCACTAAAGTTTGTGCTGTGCCCTTGTTGTAGATTAATCAGGTACTTCAAGGTCCAAGCACCTTTCAATACTAGTAAAATCCATACATTATTCTCATAAAAGCTGATAATAGTAGTACAGTATTACTAAAGTGTATTTGGGAACCATGATGCTGTGTACTGTGGTTACAAAACACACAGGTCAGTTGAATGTAGATACAATAGAGATTTATTTCTGCACTCAAATCTACTTCATTTTATCTCCTAATTCTAACGTCCCTGAGCAAGAAACATCTTGTATTGATTAGCTGTTTTTGAAGACAATGAATGCTTTTAAAGTACATGACTCAGTAAATTAAGTGCTTTCTGCAGTCTTGGATGCTATGTCAAGTGTCTTCTTTGCAGGCTGAAGTTCATATATCTCTTTATGTTCGAGTGCTTTCAAGTGTTTTATATTTTACTTACAACTTCCTCTTTTTGCAGCGACTACAGTCTCTGAGCTGTGATTTAATGCTGCTTGTACAGCCCTTCACTGTGAAGCTGGGACATGGTTTAGCCAAGCAATTTCTCCCTCCTACTCAAATAAACCACACATTTTAAAAAAGCGCAGCTCAAATATATACTTCACTAATGTTATGGGCCCAATGAGGTATAACATAAAGTCTGAGTGAGAGTTGTTCTTTCATAGCTACAGTGTTAAAGTAAAGAACAATAGCTCAGGTAACAACTGAAAGGGGCTGCAATGTGTGCTTGTGCTTGCCATATGCTGAGTGTACCTGCTCTCAGCTCCCGGGTGCTCAAGGAGTCACTGAAGCTGCAGGAGGCAGTTCTGGAAATTCAGGGTAATTCCGAACACAGTGCAACCACAACACCAGTGCCTGAGTCACGAGGCTTTACCTCAGACCAAATGTCACTTCTGCTAGGCCAGTGTCAAGCTTTCCCTCAAGAAAATGTTTCCATCCTTTTGTCTGCACTAGAAGACAAGTTTGTCACACAATATGCTGTCCGAGGAATTTGAGATAATGACAGTAACTGGGAGAGATAACATGCAAAAACTCAGACTGGATATTGCCTGGGAGTTCAATAACTGTGGGGAGTCTTGTTATTGTAAAATGAAAGTGACAATGGGTGGTGTTTTGTTGTATGAGTATATTGTCCCTCTTTGTTGGTGTTGTGATGATGTGGCTTTAATGGCGCTGTGGATTTTTTTGGTTTTGTTTTGTTGATGTAAATAAATCTGTGATGAACATGCATGACAATTCAGCTCACTAACACCTCTAACTAACCTACAAAAGAGGATGTTGCCAGATGTCATCGATTTGAAGGGACTTTACATGGGCATGATAATAACTTCCTCCTTGGAAAAACTTATAGCACTATATACTCTGAGCTTATGTAAAGTAGCATGACAAAGGAAATGGGAAGTTGGCATTGAAATCAATGAATTTATACCCATGTGAGAATGTTGAGAAGGGAATCAGGGTGATATACTTCCCATTTACAAGCTCAACCCAAACTATAACCTCCTCCAGCACATGAAAAGGTTGGAAATGGAAAGTTTGTACGGTTGCCTTTTGCTTTTCTTTGCTGTTGACTGGAGTTGGTAAGGTTTTAAGGGGAGTACTGTGGATATACATCTGTGTTGATAGGAATACTGTGCTACACAGGCTGCTTTGTAAAGGAGTGGCTGCTCAGGATAGGCACATAGTGATCAAATACCTGACAGCTGCTGCTGCTCCTGTTTTTCTTTTTTATTCAGGGATCCAGCATGAGAGTTGGACTGTGAATACTGTGCTATTATTGTTGGCTCACAAATGTTGAGCTGATATTGATTTTCTGAAAAGATGTTTGGAGCAGTAATAAAAATAAAAGTCAAGAATGATGAGGCTTTACAAATAGCCAATAAAAGAATCCACAAAAAACCTTAGTAAACTCTTGGGCTATTCAACCTTGACAATGTCCTTTTCAATCTGAATTTAATCTTCTCCTCATGCTTTGAACAGCCAACAGCTTTTGTTTCTACCCTCACAGGGCTCCACTGGCCCAAAGAATCACTTTGAGCTACAGCTTGCAGTTCTCAGCTTTCACACTGTACACAGTTTACCCTGGGAGAGCAGAGAGGGAAATGGGTAGTGTAGGACCTGAGTAAGTGATAAAAGTCCTCTTCATCATAAGGAACTGCTTCTGAAGTTGATGGGAGTTCACAGCATGGGGTGGCCGTGAAGCTAGACCCCTTATCAGGCTTCATGTGGATCTCCTAAGCATACATGATTGTCCTTTCGTAAACTTTGAGATTTACAGTGTTTGATTTACCCATGAGTTGGTGAAAAAAATACGGTAATTTTTAATTAAAAATTTATTAGCTTACTAGATTTTTTAAAATACAAACACAAAGCAGTTCATGAACACAGTATTTTTGAAAAGAAATTTGATTTATACTGTGAGATTATATTCCTCAACTGTAGACAAAACTGACATATAATCATTCAATACCCTTCAAAATAAAAAATTAATTATCCAGCATTAAATGCTCCACATGTAAGCTTTCCATAATGGAGTTCTCTGAAGAAAACTGACCCTCATTGTCTGAATATTTCATTATTTCTGACACAAGGGACTTATGCCACTGCTTTTTTTAAAAACCAGAGTAATTCATCTCATTTTACTTCATCACACCACCATAAAGTTGGACTAATGCAGCTAAAATTAGGTGAAATATTTCTAGAACTACTAAGATAAAAAAGTAAAATGGGTAACATAATGTTCTTTATGGACAGAAGTTAACAGTACTGAGTACATGGGATAATGTCTCATCCTACCAGCAGTTCCATTAAACTTACTGGGGTGTAAGTTATGGCATAAAATACAGCATACGGTTACCAGTATCTGACTGTGTGTTTGCACAATTCCCTCTACAATGGGGTTCCTATCTGGAGATTACAAAAATACACATCAGAGACAGAATAAATTAATGAGCTTTGAAATTTAAGAGAAATATTGAGATAATTGAAATAAAAAGATCTCTCCAAGTTCCAATAACCCACCCTGCTTCAACCATTACTGTCTTTGAATGTGATTTCTTTTGCTCCCAGGTGAATACAAATCAGCAGTGTAAATCTATTCAAACAATCTCCGAAGAAAGGACTTTTTTGTGGACGTTGCTAACTTCATGGTTTTCTTTTTGCGCAATGGTTTCATGGGTTGCTTTTTCAGGCGCATCACCTTTGGGGGAGTTTGTAGCCCTTTATTAAGGTCGACGTGCTTGTTGCAGAAGTACTTGACATTTGCTTCTGAGAGACGTAGAAGCATGGTCTCTGAGAGATCCATACATTGTGCGTGGACCCAGTGGCCTGTCCCGCTGGAACACAGGATCATTGCAGGCTTGTTGAGTTCTGTCGAATAGAAAGGGACCCAGGAGTTAATGTCAATATTGCAACTGGCACAGCAGGTGATCCAGTAGCCCGTTTCTGATTCATCTTCTTCATCATCCTCATTATAAGTGTCAGTATCCTCAATGTCAAAGCTACTGGCTTCAGCACTAAAGCAAAACTCCTCCGAGTCTTCAAATGGAGTGGAATCTCCAGGATCTTCGCTTGATGTCTGACTGCAAATTTGTGTTGTCAATTCTTCTTCCTTGTCCTCTTCTCCTTTGCATCTCAAAATGTAGAAGTAGTTTGCATCTGAGATTAACTGTTTGTTGGCCCCTGGAATGCCCAGCAATACAGACCCTTTGCCCATATCACAGCCAAACCATATTCTGCAGTGTTTAATATCTGGTGTCCACTCTGGGCTCTCCCTTTCAACAATCTCTATCTTACTATCCTCCAGAACTATGGTGTTACACACCAACCGTTTCTGGTTGTCAGAGTGGTAGCCACCGACAAGGACAAATTCAGTATCACTGATTTGAGTCACTATAGCACTTGACACTGATATCCCCCCTGGCAAGATGGTGCAGGTCACAGCTGGGCTGCCCAGTGGGAGATCAACTTTTAGCTTGTACAAGTTGGGGCACCTGGTGTTATTTTGAAGTGAATGGCCTCCCAAAATGTAGATCGTATCATCTCTGGCAATTGAAACATGGAAAGAAAGTCCATCTTGAAGCTCTGGAAGCATGTATGATGTACAGCATCCAAAGTCAAAATCAACAAGAAACACAGATGGTAAACAGTCGACTACGCTGTTCCATTTTTCAGTGGTTCTTTGTTCAAGAGGGGTATACGATCTCCCTCCAAATATAACACTCACGCTTTTTCCCCGGCTATGAACTACATTAATTGTATGCCCATATCTAGCTTCAGGGACATCTCCACCCAGGTCTTTCTCAATGCATTGGAACGTCATTTTCTTGCTGCTTTTGCTTACCAGACTTATAAAGTAAGTCTTATCAGAGAGGTCATTGTTAGGTGTTTTACCACCATGGATGATGTACTGATACTCATCAGACTTTGCATTGCTTCTGAGTGTGCAAAGAGCAGGGTAGCGGAGAGGGGGAAGGTAACATGAGTCTTTAGAGAAGGCGGCAGGTTTCATTTTGAGCTCATTCTGCTTTATATCGAGGAGGAAAACACCAGTGGGGCAGGATCTCTTTGGCCATCCTTTCTGCCCAAAAAAGAGAACATGCCCATCAAAATTCAGGAGAGAGAAGCCCGGCTGAAGCAAGGATGAGTTACTGACGGCTGATACCATCTGCAGTGACATTTCATCTGTCGACTGTGCCATACTGTAGCTGAGAAAAGAAAAAAACACCAAAAGAAACAGATCAAACATGTATTAAACCCTATGAGAATTATTTAAAAGTACTTGAATAAATCGTATTAAAGTTGCGCTTCAGCTCACACGCTGAGACCCGAAAAGACACCCTTTTTTGGGACTCAAGACATGAGTCAAACACGAGCTGTGGCCAGTTATGCGGGATTTTGTACAAATTACGGCCTTTTGGCACGGACAACATCGGTGCGCCCCCAGCTGGGGCGACCTGCCGGGGCGAGCGCGGCCGCTCCCATGGGAACGCGGCCCCGCGGGATGCTGGGGCCGGTAGTTCTCGCAGGTCTGCCCGGATCGGCCCGGCCCGGGGCCGCTCGGCTGGCTTGGGGCTGCCCGGCCGGCGCTTGGCTCAGCCCGGGCGTGGGGCAGCGGGCCCGGCGGGGTGAGCGGGCCGGCGGCGGGTGAGTGTCGCCGTGGGATTCGGCTCCGGGGCTCCACGGGGCGGAGGGAGCAGCCCCGGCGATGCCGCAAGCCGGGATGTTTCCTGCCCGTTGGTTGTCCCGCGGCGGGCGGGGGTACCGGGCTGGAGCGCTGGAGCCGCCCCGATGCCGTCCCGGCAGGCGGGAAGGGGCGCGGATCCCCGGCCTGGGCGCCCGGGGGTGCGGGAGCCGCGTCTGCCCGCGCTGCTCCCGATGCTCCCGAGCGGCTCGGGCTGCCCTGGAGCGGCAGGAGAGCGGGGGACTCCCGCCCACCCGGGTCCCTGGCCGGGAACGTGCCCCAGTGTCCCGTGGCCAGTGGGCTGAAGTAAGTGCGTGCACAGCCGCGTGCAGACTTCAGTTACGGGTTTTGCAGGGTTACAAAGGAAAAAAAATCAGGATCTGTTGGATACGTTTAGAAGCAGCGATGCCCGCTCTGTTTCTAACCGTGCAGATATCATGGAAGTGGCAGAGATTGTTAGTGCCAGGGTGAATCTCACTTATGCTGAACAGCCCACTCGGGTATCTGGGTGGCTTGCGAGTTTCCTTGCAGTATGTTTTCAGTGTGGTAGAATTCTTTATCTTTCACGTTTACTGTTTGCTCATGCTTTCATGATTAGGTCTCAAGGGGTATCTTTTACTTTTATAAACCTGTTTGTTCAAAAACCGAAAAGAGTTCATGCAGTCAGCCTGGGTAATAACACTGAAAGAGCTTTGGAGAGCATAGACACCAGGGAAGGAAACAACTGGCCTATTCACTGACACTATCCTATCGTGATAGCAGACATGTGCCTTTTTGTAAATATCCAAGTTCTCTGTCCCAGCCTTTGCCATATCCCCAAAATGTAAAGGTGTGAACTAAATATTAAGAAAAAACCTAAATCCCTATATATTTTGAAATGTAATTCCTTGTTTTGAAATCTCTAGGATTCATCTTGTCCTTGTTCCTGCTTTTCATTTTCTGTAATAACAACAACAACAACAACAACAACAACAAAACCACAGAGGGTTTCTTTTTTAAGGAAGGATCAGTATCTTCTGGTTATGTGACATCAGATCTTGAGGTATCAGGAACTACATTGTATACTGGAAGAATCACTGTTAAAACATGGGAACTGATGACACTGACTACGTCAAATTGCCGTGTTGTACCATATTCCTGCACTGCCTGCCTGCAAACTGGTATGCAAACTGCTGTGCTAAAATATGGATCTGCCATGGAACGCTTTTGAGAGTGAGATGTGCTTAGACCAGAGCACACAGAGTAGGTATAGTCATTCCTGAGTCCGTTTGAAAAACAATCCATGGAATAGCTGTCTTAAAAACTTGCATGTTCTGTAATCATCCAAAGATTACGATGAAGTTCTGTTCACTGTGCCAGTCCTAATGCCTCTTCCCTGAAGGTAGTAGTTTTTCTACATTTAGATTCCTTTTCAGAAGTACCACACTCTAAGTTCAGTTATAAGTTAATTAGTGAACTCTGTTCTGAGCATGTCAGTATACACAGCAGGTTTTGTTCTTATTATGCATGAAGAAAGATTTGCCAGGTTATTTACCTTCAGGTGATATGCTAAACAGGAATCTCTGCTGCTTGTTCCTTACAAGAATTCAAAAATGGTGTCAGAGGAACTTGCACTAAATTGGGTTTACTGGATAAGATGTCCTTTGTCTCATCTTTCATATTGTTTAGTTACTTCTTTGTTTTTACAGGATCTTTAGAAAAATAAAATGTCTTCCATACTGAAGATACCATAAGAAAATTAGTGTTCTTTCTGATCAAATCAGTGTTCTTTATTTTGTAACACTAGTGTTCTACATTTGACTGCTGGTTTATATTTGAAGTCTAACAAGAGTATTAAAAATGGCAAACAATTGACATATTGTATATATTTTTACATATACATAATCTCCAAATATGACAATTATTAGTGTTTACAAACTATTTCCTGAATATGGAGCAATACTCAGGTCTGAAGAGTATACTGTCTGAAGAGTCTACAGATATACAGTGGAGAAAAGATCAGTGAAAATTATTATAAGTGAGATTGATACAAGTAAATAAACACACTTAAACACTTTCTCCTTCATCTTGAATATTTCTTGAACTTTACATAAGCAAGCAGTTCAGTAAGTAACAGAGAGAAAATTTGTCTGAGTGTTTTGACAGAGGTGGCTCCTTAGGCACTTGCTGGAATTGCTTTGGCTTTCTGTGTTTTTTCATGCTAATTACAGTGTGCTCTTTGGCTATGCTGACCTCCACCTCTAACCTTCCAATACCACTGATTCCTTTGGGCTTGTCCGACCCTGAGCAGCCTCAGGGAATCCAAAAGGTAAAACTCTAACCTCATAACCACAGAGTTTAAAGTGTTTTTGGTGGTTTTATGCTCAAAACTGTGTCACTGTGGAGTCGGATTAGCATTAGAGTTAGTGCAGAGGGAAAGAGATGCCTTTGTTGTGGTGCAGCACAAGTTACTGGGGAAAAGACGCTACAAGAAAATAAATAAATAGAGAAGGGTGGAGTTACATAAACAGTTACCAGTTATGGTGTCTTGAGTCATACTTCGTCATATTTGTTTTGTAAAAGGCAAAGCTGCAAGGATTATATAAAAATGTGAGAATCTCAGCATTACTTTTGTAATGCCTGTATTTGGGAAGCAGTAGAGACCTGAGCTAAAAGCTAAACTAACAGAAAGAAGAAAACTAATATTCTTCCCTATTGTATTTTAAAATCAAACAGGGTTTTGAGCAGATTTTTCGGGTAATAGTTGTTTGTATGGCTAGATGAGATTACAAGGAATTCGGATTTAGGCATATTCATTTGCAGATACATTTACAGAAGGATCAAATGAAGAGAGAAAGTGCTTTTTAAAAGCACTCACTGATGTAATTTGAAATGTGCTTAGTATGGAAGTAGATGGATATAGTTACAATTTTGTGTGGTGTATCATTTCAGAAATTATATTAAGTGTTCATGGAGAACAGGATGAATGTTTTTAGGATTCAGTCACCTGAACATCAAGTGACATTTCATATACCTTTGGATATTCTTCCTAGTCTTCTAACTTCTGCTATGGAAGGGAGGTTTCCCACTGGTCCTGTGTTCCAGGTCCTATAAATCCAGGGTTTATAAAATGTCGCTTGATTAGAATGTTTGAGCACTGTGTCACTCCCAAACATTGTCTTTTTTGACTCCATGTAGAAATTGTTCACCTATGTGACTTTGCCTGTTACCTGCTTAGGCAACAAAAACATTCTAATCAGGAGAAAAATGAATAATCAGTGCTGCTGTTTAGTCTGACATCTCATACTTTTAATGTTAAAAGTACCATATTTGTAATAATTTCATGGTAATTTGTATGCTGGAAAATAATGAATGATGAATGAGTTGACCCTACGAACTGTAGCAAACCCAAAGAACCTTTTTTCATTTACACAAAGATAAGATTTTTGAGGACTACTGATTGGATGCTGAGAGAATGGATTGCAGGATAGCATGGAGTTTTAGTTGGTACATGCCTATTGCTGATGATTAAATTCATTAGTTTGCAATTATTTTTTATTTGACATGAACACAAATATTTATGGTAGAATTAAATTTATTTGGTAGTGTTGTATTTTTTTTTTCTGTGACTCATCTGCTTTTTCATTTCCAAAATGGAAAAGCTTACCCCGAAAAGCAAGTGCTGTTTCCAAATTCTCCACAATCAAAATCATATCCAGACACTCAGAGAGCTTTGAAGTCCTCCATAAACAGGCTTAAGGAAGGAGGGTTTTTTGTATAGTATTTCTCAAAACATTTACTGATTGTATCAACTAAGTTTGCATTGGGCAAAACAGTAATTTAGACATACCTGGCTGACAGTGGTTTTTTGCGTCCTCCGAAATCTTTCTGTATAACTGGGATTCAAATGTGAGCAATTTGAGGAGTCTTCTCTGAAAGCACAGGGGGCTCGTGGCAAGGAGAGACAGCCTGATGGAGGGGAACCTATCTGCTTAATTTGCAGATATGCTCCTGAGAACTCGATCTACTGTGGCTAACAGGATGTGACTGGTTTTTTTTCTTTCCTCTCTTGTCTTTAGATGGCACAATAAGAAACCCACCAGCCTCCAGAAGCTTTAACTCTTTGCAGTAGAACAAGAGTAGCGTGACAGTAGATGTCTCGTAGTTGATTGTAAAATTTCGCAGCATACGCTTCTTTCAGGTTTAATTTTTTATACTGCTAAACCTGTCAACATCATGATCTTTTTTTGAATATTTCAGTGTTACTTTAAAATGTAATTTAAAGTAAATTTTGAGTTAAAAGAAAAAAATAATTTTAATAGCTAGTGAAAGAAAACAACTCTTGCTGACTGGCGTACTGCTTCTTTCCCCAGGAGTGCTCTGCTGCGAGTGAGCAGTGACATTGAAACAGAGCAAAGTAAATGACAAATACATGCAATTCAGTGAGTGAGGGCTGACTGAAAGTCCAACTCAAAGTCCACTAAAGTAATTAGAAATGTCTGTTTTTCTACTTCAGTGGCCTTCTGATCAGACCTTAAAAGACTAATATAACTTTGCACCCTTCTATGGCATTTTTCATCAGTTTCACAGTGCTTTTCTCCAACAAAAAATAATTAGACTCTGCAAGTCCTCTGGGAACATATCCTTTCAACAGCTAGCAGTGCTGGGGCACAGAGGATAAGCCACTTGCATAACGTAGCACAACAAATAAACAGAAAAACCTGGAAAACAATTCACTCTTCATAGCTCCCTGCTTTTGTTTTCCTGGCCCTACTTCACCCACTCCAGAGTTACAACATCTGCTGCACAGTATTTTAGAAATATCTCAACTCCCGTTTGAAACTGCTGTGAGAATAGAAATAGAAGGAGCTTGAAATGGAATTTCATTAGTACAGCAAAGCAAACATACGAAATGTTTGTGAAAATTGTCTTGAGACTTTGAATAACTGTAATGCAGATAGGATGTGGTGATGTTTCTCATCTGAAGTACAGAAGTGCTAAGGCACTGTGCCCTGTAGCATCCGTATGGGCTTTTTACTTCTTTACTGAAAAAAGATAAAAGGAGACTGTACTGCAGAGTTGAATACCAAAAAACTTTCCCCAAATTTAAAAGCATTCAGATCACATTTATTTCTATTTTCAGTAGGGCCTAGATAATACTTGACAGCTTCTTATCTAAGTGTTTGACATAGTCTGACCTTTATTTGGGTCTGTGATCAAAGATCTACTGGAAAAAAAAGATACGAATGTTTAAGTGAAAAATCCAACTCCCAAATTGTGTCGCATTAATATTTTACATTCATTTTACTCTCTTTCTGCCAGTTGACATGCCTTATCTTTAGAAATTCTTTTTCCAATTACCGTGATTGAGAAGATGGAGAAATTAAAGTTTGTTGGGTACAGCATGTCAGTACTGGATGAGGACATGGTCTGTCTAAGCTGGTCTCTGTAACTGTCAATGACAAAGTGCTTTGGAAAAAATGCAGCAAGTAGCTTCAGAATAATGTATCTACTAGGTAGGAAAATCGCGTTCAAAACTGTCCAGGTCATA